GAGAGCTGGGAGGTGAAGGGCAGCCAGCTCCAGTCACACCCAATTCCTTCTGCCTCAGAGGAGGACACTCAGAAGGGCTGATTTCTCTTTCTCCATTCAGGCACTTAAGCAAATAAAGAGCGTGAGCCAATTAAATGTTAATGGGATTTCTGCTCTGAGCCATACAGAGAATCCTGAAAAACATCCTTATTTCTTGTCGCAGGAAGGTTCCTGCTCCAGGACAAAGCTTTTCCAATGTCCTGGTGCTCTGAACTGGAGGGATGCAAATTGCTTTTTAAATTAAAGGACACCCTGCAACTCTTTCAGCCTCTCAAATAAAAACCCTCGGGGTTGTTTTTGGTGTTTTTAAGAAGCCCCTCTACCAATATTGGGGTTTTTTTTTTCACTGCTTTAATACAAAGCCAGATGTCCAACAAAACAAAAGGTCCAGATGGAAGCAGGATTCAGTCAAAAGGTGTATCCAAGCACACATTTGACCTGAATATTCCTCACAACAAAAATAAATTGCTGTGGAAGGGCAAGATCTCAGCTGACTGCAGAAGAACAACTACAAAATTCAGAAGAGCTGAATTTGGAAGAAGAGCTGTAGAGGGTCACAGGATAAAGGCAGACAGCAGACAGCAGCCTAGAGACTTAAAAAATAATAATAATAAAAGAATTCCATGAATAAAAAAAATTGCATTAGGTCAATTTTAGTTGCATTAGGCCAGTTCTGGGTGTTGTTTTTTTTTCCTGTGGCAGTTTGCTGCTCGTTTATTTAAAACATTAAAAACATTTTAAAAGAGCTTCGCGAAGCCTTTTTTTTTTTCTTCCCCTTCAATAAATCAAAAGAGCCTTTAAAAAATTGACGAGCCCTTTCAAATGGAAGCTCCCTGTTTCTGTTGCTGCTGCCAGCAGCTCTGATTTCACACCACATGGGCTTCTCAGAATCGTGGCATCAAAAATTCAGGGCAGGGCGGAGCCGCCGCCGCCTGCGGGTGCCCCAAAGCCCCAAGGCAGAGGGTGAATTCCTCCACTGAGGAGGAAAGGAGGTCACACCACTCTGCCACAAACACAAAACCTCCCTTTTCCTGCCTCTAAACTCTCTGCTTTCCTAGAGGGAAGAAAGAATGGAGCACCTGATTCCCTGGATCACATCAAAGACCTTCCTTTGCGTCCTCCACTGGGGAGGAGCCCACCCAGCTCCTGCCCTGCTGGGATGGAGGTGGGAGATGACACAGTTCTGGCCCCAAAAGCAGGCAGCAAAACTACCATTAAATAGGACTTTTTGACCCCCTTCCTTTGGAAGTTGCCCCTTCCAGCCTCTCATAAAACTCTCCACGCTCTGTTCTTTTATCAAAGGCTCCTCAGAGCCGGGTGGCACCGCCCGGGCTGCACTGAGTTGGTCCTGAAGCTTCCAGTACTGCTGTTTGCAGGTGAAATCCTCCAAAAGAGAATAAACCTGCTCCTTTACACCTAATTATTAAGATTTCCAGGAATTGCAACTCGCCCATCACTGAGTCATCCCCTCAAACCCTTCTGGCACAGATATACCTGCGTGTGCTTTGGTCAAGACTCCCTGGTCTGCTTGGCTTTCTGCCTCTGCCTAAAGAAAACCGGGATGGATGAGGATTGTTAAGGGAGATTTCACTGGATAATGGGTAAGAAAGGGACGGGGGAGTTGATGCAATGGGTGGAACATGAGTTGTTTCCACAGTGGTGACTGTTGGACAGGCGAAACAGTGCAGCAAGAGACAGGAATAACATATTACCCCATGAAACTCCTAGAGAGAGATTCCAGCCAGGAGAAGACAAAGAAAGAGCAGAGTCAATGACAAACAGCAACATCAGAGCCCCCCCTGCACACAGAGATCCCCCAGGCCCTGGCCCACATCCCCAAATAAAGGAGCCCCAACCCTTCCACTCGGGAGCAAAGAAACCTCCAAAGGTCCTGTCCAAATGGGTGGTTGGGGCATGTTCATGTCCACAAAAAGAAAGGAATTTCTCCTTGAAATGCATTGCTAAATGGTTACATTTAATCAATTTATTATCATCAGCATCAGTGGTGTTGTTTCTGGCATCTCTCCGGGGACTCCTTCTAAAATTTATTTTAATTTTTTTTTAATTTATTTCCTTTAAAATATTTTAATTTTTTTAAAAAATTTATTTCCTTTAAAATATTTTAATTTTTTTTTAAAATTTATTTCCTTTAAAATATTTTAATTTTTTTTTAAATTTATTTCTTTTAAAATATTTGAATTAATCAGCCCTTCCATTCACATGAAGATAAACCTCCAAATGTCCCTTCCCCCCCCTGGACACTCTGGGAGGTGCAGCCTCCACTCTTTGGCAAATGCTGGTTGATTTTCTAAAGGGCATCAGGACATTCTGTGCATCTCCACCACCTTTGTGCTGTTCCTCAGCAGCTGTTTCTACCCACCAGATACATTTTACACCTGGAGCTGATGGGTTTGGATGACAAATTTTGCTTGCAAAGTTTGCTTTAAGCTCCTTTATTTCTACTCCCCTAAAGGCTCAAACAAGTCTCTGTGTTTGTGACATGTTTATCTGTAGGAAAAGAAGGGAATTTCTCTTGGAAATGCATTGCTAAATGGAAAATTTTAATTAATTTATTATCATCAGCATCAGTGTTGTTGCTTTAAGCATCTCTCTGGGGCCTTTTTAAAAAATTTAATTTTTTTTCTCAATTTTATTTATTTATTCTGAACTACTTCTATGAATTTATTTATTTTTTAACTCCAGTTAAGCCCAGAACAGCTTCTAAAGAGGCAGAAAGCAGACCAGCAGCTGGTTGGAGAGGCTGAGCTGGGTTTGTTGAACCTTCCAGCAAGGGCTGATAACCATCTCATGTGCCTAAATAAACACAGGCTGTTGCAATATTCCAGCTGGGAGCCTTTCAGGGAGCTCTGTTATTCCCAGGTTTTTGGTGATGTGTCTGTTCAGCAGCTGGTTCAGACACCAGGGAGGTCAAGGACATGAATTAAATCCCACCTTGCACGAGGTGATTGTGTGTTCTGGCCACAATAAATAGATTTATTACACTGCTGGTGAGTGGCAGGGTTTGCTGGAAAAATCCAACCCAACAACAGAGATGATCCAGTTGATTCTCCAAGAGCTCATTTTCAGGATTATCAAAATTCAGGGTGTCCAGTTTAACCAAGCAAAGAGTTGGGGCAAGGACAGGACTCTCAAGTTTGCACCTGATTATTCAGTTATTATTTATAACTGGAACAGAGGGCAAATAATCCCCTGGGAGTGACTGAATTAAACCAGAAATACTTCAAATATTCTCTGAACTGGACATCAACACTCCCCTCCTACTGAAACGTGGATGTGGGGCAGAGGGTACAGAAAGCATCAAAAGCACAGAAAAAATTCCAGTTTTTTCAAGTCTCCCAATAGGTTTGTCTCCCCTTAATCTGGGAGACAGTAACTAGGCAGGTTTTATGCATTCCCTGCCAAATTCTCACTCAGAAGGTAAAATAGAAGCAGCTTGGGGCACTATTATAAAGCACAGGCAGGGGATGTAAAAGTAATTTATTTAGAGGCTGATGAGGTGCTGTTAGATATTCATGGCCCAGCATAGAAAACCTGAGCATGAAAAGACTCCAAAAGATTAAAAATTATTCATTTTAATCCTTAACTTGACCAAAAGAAAAAAAAAAAAAAAACCTTGTTCAAAGGAAAGTCTTGCTCAAAGAGAAGAGATTTTCAAGGCAAACCCTGGTGTTTGTTCTCACAAAATGCTCCTTCTCCCAGTCTGCCCTGAACGTTTGAATTCCTGATGGGAAAGGGAAATTCTCATTGAACTGCAGACTTGGGGAATATTGTTTTGCAGATTAATACTTGTGACTGTGGTTATTTGCCTTTTCTGTGTCTCTTCCATTCCAAGGAGCTCCGTGTTAACTTGCTAAATGCTTTTTTTAGGAGGGTTTTGCTTAGTCTGGCCACGTCCAGCTCTAAAAGCTGTTCTATAATATATTCCACGTGCAGGGAAAAGAAGCCCCACACATGTCTAGCCAAGCTTAAAAAGCAGCTTGGGTTTGGATGTTAAATTTTAGGTAAGACATTCACCAGCCCAGCAATTCCATCTCGAGTTTTGCTTAGGACAGAGCACTCAGCTCCTCGAAAAAACTGATTTTTAACGAATGGGGACAAAGTTTTTAAAGAGGGGAGGGCAACATCCCTTTGAAAAACTTCTGCTGGACATGACTTTCTCAAAAACTTAAATAATTCCTTAATAATATAATTTAAATTAATAATTCTGGAGGATCAGGCATAGAAAGCCCAGATCCCAATATTTCCAAATGTCACTTCTCAGAAATCACACCAACAATGTCAAGCCCATCTCCTTCAGTCCATCCACTTCTTGGAGGTTTGTTTGTTTGTTTGTTTGTTTGTTTGTTTTTAATCCAGCATTTATGGAAAACAGAAGATCTAACCCACAAATCTGAACGTGAAAGGAATTTTGACGCCTCAGAAAACGCAAAATTCCTGAGAAATATTCCAGGCCACCCTTCCCAGAAAGGACCCGGGAAGTTTTTGTGCTTCAAAAGGGGACACGTTTTCCCCCAGCAGAGCTGACAGGAGGAGCTTGGGGACGAAGCTTAAAAATGACTGTCAGTTTAAACTGGACAAGACACACTCCCGTGGTTCCCTGACGAAGGGGAACGCTTTTCTCCTTAGCAATTAAACCCTGCTCATTCTCATTAGCAAGTTAAACAATTGCCTCGCCCGCTCATCAGCGTGTTGACAAACAGGTGAGCGGAGCTGTGAAACGCTCCTATAATTGCTCAAGGCTAATTTAGCAGAAGATTTAACTGCCCGAGTCCTGCGGGCTCTTTCCAGGTCATCTCCTATTGTTTCTCCGGGAAACATTTGCAAACAACTCTTTCCATGGCCCAGAAATACAGGTGGAAAATTTTCCTTTCATCGTCCAGCTCTGAACTCCCCCAGTTCTGAGGAACCTGCCCTGGTCTTCTTCTGAAAAAAGTGCTCAAAGGGAAAGCCAGTCTTCATTTTGAAATGGCAATTCCTCTGTGCCCGGGGCTGAAAATCCTCCCTGATATTAAAGAAGCCCAGGGAATGTTATTTAATGTCATAAATCCCGAGCTGTGTTGGAGGGAGGGAGCAACGAGCCTTAAAAGTGAAACTGTGGAAATGCAAGTTCCCTGAATGAGAGAGGAGAAAAGAGCAGAGAAATGCCGAGGTCTGTGAACCAGAAACACCCACAGCTCCAGAAATAATGTTTTGCAGGGAGTTCACTGAGTTATCAGCTGATTTCATTAACTCCTTTCTCACAGGAAGAGCAGTTCTTACAACAATTGCCCCGAGACACTGGACTGCCACAAACTGTTACAATATGTTCTTGAAAAGAAGTTGGCCAAACAGTCACAACAATCTTGGCTTAATGTTTGAAGGAGCAGTGAATGGACTCACCCTAAAGCTGGAGGATTTTCAAGAGGTTCAACAGCACCAATTTAGTTGGGTTTATTTTTTTCTTCCCCCCTCCAGCTACGAGATGAAAAAGGGCAGAAACTGAGCATTTCACTGAAAAATGGGGCCACACGTGTTATGGATCAACTCTCTCTCTCTGTGCCAGGTCCTGCCTCCTCTGTGGTTATTCCCTAGAAATTGGGGTGTTAAGGGAATGTACTTACGAGAAGGCAAAGGCCACCAAGGCCCCACTGACCACAATGAAGTCCAGGATGTTCCACAGGTCACGGAAGTAGGAGCCAGGGTGGAGTAACAGCCCCAGGTCGATCATCTGGAGAGGAGACACAGGAAAAGGAAGAGTTTTAATAAAACTCTGTA